CAACAAAGTCAGCATAAGGCTCATTGGCATTCTGTCGAATGTTTGAAAAATTTGCTCTAGGTTCTCCAGCTTGGGGTACCTTAAGAAAAGCATGAAAGGCACACTCAGAAACAATAGTTAACATAGCAGGAGGAAGAACAACTTGAGTAGGAATTGTACCAAATGGTCCAGAACAAAATAGCTGCTCAACTGTATATGCTCCTCCCACTCCTAAAGCAGCAGCTTCTTTATCTGAGATTTGCCATCCGAGATTGGAACATTCCTGCAATTACAACTCTACAACAAATAACTCAGGGTAATGAATATATCCAATGCGCCTTCCTCCACCTATTTTCCCCATAACAGCAACCTGTGAGGTGAGTTGGGCTGAGAGTGACTGGCCCAAGGTCACCCAACTGGCTTTCTTAGCTAAGGTAGGATTTGAACTCATGTTCAAATGTCTCTTGTTTTCTAATGGGTGCCTTAACCTCTAGACCAAACTGGTTCTATCTATAACTACAAATCTCAACATTAATACGATCTTGGTAAATAAGGGAGTTGAATAATGTTGCATTTTAGTTCCTTTACTATTTTATCTGTAGTTAAACATATTTGCAAAGACATTTTCAGATTAAATTGCAACTTCTCAAAGCAGCAGAAATGAATGTGCCATTCTCGCCATTTATAATAATGCAACAATTAACTTAAGGACTCCGGTTAGCCTTAAATGAGCCCACAGTAACTTAGCATAATTTTGTGAAGAAAACCAGTCGGTAATTACTTTTCAGCATATTAAACTGAAAGCTTTTGCAACAGTATCTAGGAAATCGAGATTGATAATAGAAGGGCAACAGAGCAAGTGTGGAATTTTAATATATTCTTGTAGTATTTCAGAATTTTGTGGTTGTGAAAAACATACATGGAGTTTGTAATCTTACAGGCTCAAAGAAACCCTTCAGTGATTCTAAAATTCTTCTGCCTAAAAGGTGGACAATGCATTCATGCAGCTTTGAAACAACTTTTTGTTAGACCCTTAGTGTAATTGCTCTGTAGTTCATAGAAGGATTTTTATCCAAACTACAAGTTGTTGCAGATACCACAGAATAAGTTCATAAAAACATGACTCACAGCAATAACTACTTGGGGTGGGGGGAAGAGAGATAAGAGTGGGCAAATGAATAAGGTACCCTTGCACTGGAAATATGTCCCTTTTGTATTTATTTATTTAGTCAAGCAATTATAAGATAACAGGTATAAGTATAAACATAGTTATGGATACATGAAATGGATACATATAAGAAAAAGAAAAAATAGGACGGGGATGGTAGGCATGTTGGTGCGCTTATGCACGCCCCCTACAGACCTCTTAGGAAAGGGGTGAGGTCAATAGTAGACAGTCTAAGGTTAAAGTTTTGGGATTTGGGGAAGAAACCACAGAGTCAGGTAGAGTATTCCAGACATTGACCACTCTGTTGCTGAAGTCGTATTTCTTGCAATCAAGTTTGGTGCGGTTTACCCTGAGTTTGTACCTGTATCTGTATTATGCTCTCACACACGTGTGTGAAAGGAACTGGAACTTATGATGGCACTACTGATGAAAGTGGTACATCTTGTGGGCGCCTCTGGTGCTACCAGCATCTGAATGTGCATCTAATGAGGTCCAGAGATTAGAGTCTGGTCAGTTGAAGACTGAAAGAACATGGCTGTGAATAAATGTATTTGGCCTAATTATTTGGCCATTATTTCTCCACGAGATTGATTCCTCTTACGCCGTCTGCCAATCTCAGTCTTCATGGTCTCAAATATATTTGAAAATAAGAAAATAATAATTATATAAGAAAATAATTGGAAAAAAAGCTTATAGGCATTGGATATCAATGTGAAACTATTCTTATATCGGAGAACAATAGAGAACAAATAGTACATGATTTTGCCAATCAGCAAACATTATCCTTTAGAGCCAGATTTAACATCTTATCCTCAGTAGGTAAACAATATGAAAAATATCGAGCTTGTAACTTGCTGAACTTGTCCATGTGACTCCTATGCTGTAAAATTCATCCATTCGTGCCAAATAGTTCCTGCTTTAATGACTGTTTATGAAGGCTAATCTATTATCCCTTTTATTACATGTTCCAGGTTGGTTTAACACATTTCATGTTAACTTCCTTTTGACAGGACAAAAAAAAAACCTTGTGACACAGAAAGTTGCAACATTTTGCATAGCAATCATCAATATCTGCTGACAAAATGAACCCAAATTCTGTTGAGTAATAGACTCATTTTGGCTTCTTTAAACAAATTTTATGTTGGTATTTAAATATCATTTTATCTTTTTGGGAATTGGGATGGGGTGATTGGTTGTTTCTCTTTTGTTACTGATCTTTGCTCAAACTGAATACATTTGATGTACATCCTCCCTTTTTGTCTTTATTGTTGGGATTATGGACAAACAAGGGCTGGTCTTTGTAACTGTTCCCAAATTCAAATGTTACAGTGGATCGAGCTTGGCAATATGAAATTACTTCCCTTCAGCCATCTTTTAGTAGAGAGTTTGTCACTTTTGTTTATTGTCCCAAGATATAATGAGATTAAATTATAGAAAATCTGTGTACCTACAGATACTATCTGTTTTTTTATTTGGTGCCATATTTCCAGGGGTTCCTGAAAACTTTGAAAACTTAACTTTGTCTTAGGACTGGGATTGATGTTTATTATTCATTCAGTGGCCCCTAGTTTGTTTTGTTGTTCTTGCTCTCCATTAGATTATTATACAGGTAGTCCTCGATTTACAACCCCAATTGAACCCAAAATTTCTGTTGCTAAGTGAGAAATTTGTTAAGTGACTTTTGCCCCATTTTATGACCTTTCTTGCCACATCTGTTAAGTGAAACACTGCAGTTGTTAAATTAGTAACACGGTTGTTAAGTGAATCTGGTTGTTAAGTGAATCTGGCTTCCCCATTAACTTTGCTTGCAAGACGTTCACAAAAGATGATCACATGACTCTGGGACATGCATGGTTTTGAGAAATTGGTGTTCATGGAAGAAATAACGCACATTTAGTAACTGTTCTTAATTTTCTTAATTACTATTTTTGAAGAACAGTTTATATATAATGCTGCGCCAGGATCTTTCATGTCACGGTTGCTGAACAAAGCAAATGATTCGTTCATAGAACACTTAACATTATATCTGAATGAGGGCTAGCTTCCTGCTATGGTCATTGTAAACCACACGTCATATATAAGTACAAGATGACCTGTTCACTAATACAGCACCCAAATTCTTCTAAGTAGAGTTTTGCAATTTACAGTTCCCTAAAGACAGAATCAACAATTATGTGAAGTGTGACATATGATAAAAAAATATGCTTTGAAAAACTATAAAGTTAAAAAAAAATTAAATCCAAGACAAAAAGTATTTCATTTCTGTCACAGTCAATATTTGGGCTTCTTAGTTCTATTTCCTTGGATAGACAAAAAGCTGATCTGAGTAATAAATCTTCCTTTTGTGCAGATTTTCCTGAGAGAAAGCTTTTTAGCAATAAGGAAATGTATTTTTATTCATCATTTGTACCTCAACTCAATGACTCTGGGCTGCTCACAATAAAAAGAAAAACATATGATACAAAAGCATAAATAAGAACAATGTTAACAAGATTTAAAAGGTAGGGTTACAGTATTAAAAGTTTAAAAGTTAACAAGGTAGAGAGAACACACTCATGAGACCAACCATCCCAGGGCTGTATATCACATTTTGACTTCCATGCCATTTGGCAGACCCTGGTCTTAACATTCTTTCTGACGGCCAGAAGAGTGGGGGCCGGGGCCTGCCTCACGTCTGGATCCTACAAGTTAAACCAGGGGTGTCCAACCTTGGCAACTTTAAGACTTGTGGACTTTAACTCCCAGAATTCCTCAGCCAGCTTTGCTGGCTGAGGAATTCTGGGAGTTGAAGTCCACAAGTCTTAAAGTTGCCAAGGTTGGACACCCCTGATTTAAACCATGGGATCTGCAACATACCCTCCCTTTCTGAGAATTGGACAATATAATTGACATTAAAAGTTGGATGAGCTGTTTAACACTGAAAGAATCGAATCAAATAAAAATTGTTGCAATATGATCAAAATTAGTTTGATCTCACTCTGTATCTGAGTCAGGGTCTATGAAAAGAGACGAGTAAAAAAATTTTGTCATAATTTTGGTTGGATAATTCATGGGTTTTTTTCCAAAAAATATCCTAAAATCTGACACCCACTGTTTTTCATCTAGTTTATTCTTATTCGTTGTGGTCTTTAAGACTTAAGCTACAGCTTCTTATGATTGGCTACTAGCCTGGCCCATATTGTCCAGGAATTATTTATTTATTTATTTATTTTATTTTTGTCAATTGCTTACAAGGTAATAGGTATAAGTAAAAACATAGTTATGAATACATGGATACATATAATAAAGATAAAAATAAAAGAAACAATAGGACAGGGACGGTAGGCACGTTGGTGCACTTATGCACGCCCCCTTCAAAGAGACATCACCTGAACTAGTTGATAGAAAGCTATCTGTCTTGACCTCTTTTCTGAGTACAGAATGGTTGGGGAGAATTGGATAGAAAGGCTGCAGTCTGCAAAGTACAAAAATCTGTGACGATATTTTTCAAGGTAGTGGGAGTGGATGAGTGAATTTCAGAGAGGCAGTTTCTTGCGGGGAGAAAATGTGGGTGTTTTGGACTTTGAAAAGGTTATACTTTGACTTCAGTGGTAATTATATTAAAGTGCTGATCTCTGATCCGGAGTTTTCCTTTAAATATGCTCCTGTTGCAAATCTTTGTGTAGGTCAGAAGGTGTGGCACTCTACATATATAATTATATCTGCCAGAAATTGTTCCATTGATAGGAGCAGGATACTTGTGCTACAGCCATGGTCCATCTAGAGAAATTTTGTGTAGTTAAGGCCACAAAGCCCCAGGTGGGAAATGTTGAGTTAGTAAATACTTCGGTTATTAATACTACTCTTCCCACAGTCACAATGTCCTCCAAGAGGTTGTATAATGAAGACTACAATGATTACAGTTCAACAGATGTAACTCCTGATGGCAGTTTTCCAGATGGCTTGAACAATATTTCCAGTCCATCATCCTACCAACGATTTGGAGAAACAAATGGAACAACGTAAGTGGTTATATTCTTCATTAGAATCAGTCTGCATCTAAATGCATAGGCAAATTAATTTAACCTTAAGGAAAAAGTGTGCAGGCATCATGTTAGGGCCCATTCAGATTACAGATAAAAAACTAAAGCAGTGTTCATTCACAGATAAACTTACTGGATTTACTGGGGATACAGCATGCAGACTTATATCCCAATTACAAATTACTTCATTATGAATTACTTAACATTTCAGATTTTAAAGTTAATTTTTTCTGGCCTCTGACTGCTTTAGATAACTATGATTTGCTGGCTCCCCCATTTCAAAGATTTGTTTCCATTATTAGTATTTCCCCCAAACTATTCTGAACATGGAAATCTGCTCTTTGCTCATGATGGCACACAGAAATCCCCATAAAGTGACAGGCCATGTTTTCAGTCTTTCTAAAGTATCTGATTTGACATCTCTAATCTGTATCAGTTAAGTGCAAGAAAAGCTAAGACTTTGTAGTCTAAAATGACTTTGCTTCTCGGAGAAATTGTGAGTTTTTGAAACCTTTTTGGTAATTGGATTTGTATCTGTGATTTTACTAGTGTGATATTATTTGAAAGCTTGTCTTGGCATCTTTTTAACAAAAGATTTTGTGTTATCAGTTGAATTACTAGATCTGCTGAAGCTGGACATAGGGTCAAGACTGTTTTAACAGTTGATACAGCAGCTGCTTGCTTTCTGTAAAATAGGTGTTTGGCTGCTGCCATATATGCTGCAATTAACACAACATACTTTTATAGGGCACCCCTCCCACATCTCCAAAGGAAGTGCAATCTTTCAGCTTCAGCTTTCGTTTCTTTTGCCCTAAGCCAGGGATGAAAAATTCCAGAATCACCAAATGTTGCTGAACTTCAACATCTGAGATCCTTTACTTTATATATGCTTCATGGACTTCTAGAGTTGCAGTTCTCCAACAGTAGAAGTTTTACATCTCTAATATTGAAGAAATAGCAATGGGTTCTTTGGAGTACTTAATCTCTCTGTATTGTTTTTTTCCCCCTTCAGATGGTACCAAACCTTAATACATCTCTTGAAAGGAAATATTGGTACTGGCCTGTTAGGACTTCCGTTAGCAATCAAAAATGCTGGTATTGTGGTAAGAATTTTTCATTTGGTTGGTTTCAGTTGCTGGGATCACATGGCTATTCTTTGAGAAGAAGACTTGTCTTGCAAGTTTCGTTACATTATTTCTTGCTTATTTAAGCAAGAAATTTGTGTTGTTGGCAGGCAATTTTTGTTCTGAGAAAAAAATGAGGATCTCTTCTGATCGTTCTCTGAGCTATCCTTTCTAAACTAACTGTTACTATTGCAAAGTCTTGCAACATAATTTTTAATAATGGACAATTCGCAAGCTTAATTTTTGGTGGACCTGTATCAAGAGAAGAATAATCAAGATGCTAAAGATAGAGTAAAATATTTTTCCCTCAATTACTGGTACTTTTCCTACTACTGCATCAACTAGGTTTATAGAAATGCTGCTGAATTTGCCACATATCTATATGTGTTTTAAAAACTGCGGAGAAAGTGAGGTAATAAGATAATTAATATTCCCCATAAATGAAAATTTATAATGAGAAATGGCCCCTTACTGCTTTTAAAATAATTACAGCAGCTATGATACATGCTAGAACAGAGAAACATAACATATGTTTGCTTACATTGAAAAAAGAGGACTTCAGACATGTACCTCTGTTCGATTTTCTAGCAATTTGAATAAGAGCCATGGCAAACATCTAAGCTAGAGTATTTTTAGTGTCCTCCTCATCTTGTTCTATTGATAAACCATCTAACATTAGGGAAGTGCATGTTTGTACATCAGATAATATTCACGCAACACAGCCTGAGTAATATATTTACTTTCTGTTCTGTGAAATAATTACCTAGATTATTAAGTGTGTAGGCTGTACTAATGAAAAACATATCCTCAAGTATGTGGACATCTTGTACCCTAACATTTTAAACATACTCCATGAACTAAATATGACTCTAATTTGAGCATTTGAACTCTCCCAGCAATTCAAAGTTTTTCAGAAACCTGTCATTAAGGTTTTATAAGCTATAATTCAATTAGGTTATATCCAAATAGTTTTAATGTCATGTGTATGGTATACAAAAGAACTGAATTAGCTACACGGTACTAATTATATTATTTTGACATCCTCAGCACAAGTGAATGTAGGTAACTGAAGAGAGCCAAGGAGATGGTTTTGAAGAAGCAAAGCAGAGACAATGTTTGTGAAAGCATGCTTTAAGGCCAAGAAACAAAGAAAATACACACAAAAAGCCAGACCTCATGTGGAAGAGGACTGATTAGTTCTCTATTAGTCCTCCTTTTGATCCTTAGACTAATGTACAAGAAGGAGAGAGGGGGAAACCTCAGTCAGCTTTCAAGGTTTTGTTATTGTGGCCTATATCAATAAAATTAAGTTCCAGCCAGACTTGTAGAGTCTGTTTCCTGACTTGGCCCACCTCAAAGGACTAACATTAATTTTATCTCCTTTCTCATGCTTTCTCTGTTTCTAAAGCACATTTTTATAATAGTAATAAGGAGACATCAGGATGGCAATAATACAAGCAAAGCTATTATGAAAAGGAGATGACAAAAAAGTGAATGGCTTGTGTCAGCATGGAAATAAAGATTCAAAGTGAATTACAGGATCAAGAGGAAGTAGCTAAGAGAGAGGGAAAGCCACATAATCAAATAATATGGAGAATTCTGCTTGAAAGAGGAAGAATTGAAACCAGTGAAACATCTCCTCAGTAAACTTCTGGAGGAGTGAGTGGATTATTAACATGATAAATAATAGAAAAATTGTTTACGAACCAGAAAATCAAATGAAAACACAAGCATATTTCAGTATAACATAACCTTCTGGCACCTGAAAGACTATGTCTAATTTATATAAATGTTTGGGGGTGCCACTAGTCTTGAACAGATGCACAAAGAGTTATAGTGAATTATGGATGTTTGTAGGTTTATGTATCTGATAGAGTAAATTATAGTTCATTTTACCTGATGCTGTAATCAACCTGTCTTTAAGGAGCTACACGTTTCCTCATTGTCCATTGACTTTTTGGTGCTTTTGTCATATTTATTAAAAATAGGTTTCAGGAAAAAATAAGCTGAAAAAAGAGTTTCAAAGGTACTAACAGAGTATTAATAAAATGAACATACTGAGTGCTAATGGAAACTATGCTGAAGAAACAGTAGAAATATGTTTCATATTTATCTAATTTACATTTTCTAGACTGGCACACAATTGTCTTTTGATAGTTTATATTATGTATTTCCCACAAAAGTATGTGTTAATAAAAACTTAACACAAGAATGCTTTATGTTGAAAAAAAATGATTGTAAAGATATTTGTATTAGTCGAAGTGTATAAAATTTGTATTAAAAAACATTACATTTTCATACATACATTTTATGCAACTTTTTTTAAAAAGGTTAGAAATTGGACAGAGGAAATTAAAAACTGAGAGGAATAAACTTAATTAATTCACCTACCCTTTGCAGGGAATAGAACTATTAAATTAAACACATATCCACAAAAAAATCAATGCATCTTCAGACAGAATTCATACTTTGTGATAAGCCAGACAGGGGTTTGTTTGTTTATAGCTTAATATGCTACAAACAGCTGTCTAAATGTAACTTATTTAGGAAGATATATTTAAAATATCATGGCATAGTGCCATATGCAACCCAGGTAATAGTAAGATATTAGAACTTTCCGTCTTTTCTTTTTGAAGCTTATTGGAGGGTTCTGTTGCTCATTCTGGTATATAGGTATTCACCTATATTGCTGAGGTTTGATATATAGAAATGTTGTTGGTATATAGAAATGTTGTTGGCATGGATGCAAGTAAAAAGATTTAGGGTGAGGAGGTGTTTCTTTCCAGCAATTAGCAATCAATGGAAGGTGGCCCTGACCTTATCAGAAGATAGAGGCCTGGATTTTTAGCTTTTGTTGTTCACATTTTGAGGAATTAACTTATGGCCACAATAATTAGGAAAAAGGGTGATTTACTGTTGAATTTTGGCAGCAAAATATTGAGAGATTGATGAGGCGTAAAAACTTGTAAGAATTACAAATTAATGTAAGTTTGACAATTAACCAAAAAATATATATAAGCACTGTAGTATTTACATGGTAGATGTACCAAAATTCAAATATCAGATTATCAACCTCTGGGTTGTTGTTTTTTCCGTCCCCTCTTTTGAATGATGACTGTTTCAAGACTGGCTGAAAACTCTTCTGTTTTTACTAAAAGCCTGCATTTATCTTTTCAATGGCAACAATGTGTTTTTAATTCTACTCTTCTTTCACTGTTTAGCTGGGTCCCATCTGCTTGCTTGTGATTGGAATCATCGCAGTACATTGCATGGACATCCTCGTTAAATGTGCTCACCACCTGTGCCAGAAGTAAGAGGGAATTATGACAACTGCTATCTCTGGAAGAAAATGATTGTGATTATAAACTAGCTGAAATAACAAACCTAGTTCTTTTGATAAAGCAAAATATACAACAGGGTATAAGAATTAGCTTATATTGAAGGCATGGAAATAATCATGTGGGAGAAGATTACACAGTCCTGTTATGCTTCATTAGTTGTTGGAATGGCTTCAGATTGCACACTCTGTTTTCTCAAAGGCTACTAAAATGAATAAACAAAAAATGATGCTTGAGCCACCTATTTAGAAAATATACAATTCATCTGTTTTCAGAGCTATTTCCATCCCTGGGAAAGCATAGAGTTTCCTTGGTAGATAGCATGCAGAAATGAAATAGATTTCTATTAAGAAAACCTAGTGAAGTTTGGTTTAGAAAGCTAAATTGGGCAACCCTTTTGGGGGGTGGGGGTAGGACTTTAAATGATAATTGAATTGCCCAAAAAGTCTCATGCTTTTTAGGATGCTGTTCTTTTCTCTTGAAGCATCCTATGGCGCCAGAATTAGAATGACTCATTTTGGAGAACCTGTAATTAATTAAAGCTCAGTTGACCTTGATATTGAAACACTACAAGCATTCTGTTGAATTACATTGTATCTAAATTATGAATCACTTACCTATAGACCTTAAGTCGCCTGCAACCTCAATATGTGCTATTCTAGAACTCTGCCCAGTTTTCTGAATGATCATTGGATTGCTGGTTTCCAGATTGCCTTCAATAGCTAAAAAGCAGCATTCTGGTCCTTATCAGCTCTTCATCAGATTGATCAGCAGACTTAAGGAAAAGTGTGCTTCCAGGTTTGTTTTTTTTCTGTAAGATGGTTGAAAAATTGACTGGATGGCTAATGGCAACAGTATTCCATATTGGTATCTGAGAAGGAAGGAGGGAATCTTAATTGCTTCTTCCTTCTTCCCGGTGACCCAGTTCAGGAGTCCTGGTTATTGCTATTATCAAAGTCATTGGCAAAAGGGTAGGCTAAGCATCTAGAGCAATGCAACAATGCCCCAAATCGCTGTTTTGCATCAGAAGCAGTGTGGTAGCAGTTTTTGGGAGTAGAACATTCTATAAAAAACCTTTTATGAAATGCAGCTGACTTCATCACCAAAGTTTATGCCTGTTAATAAAACTTGTTAGCTGGAGAAGGTACTACCAGATTCCTGATTTTTTTTGCCCCATAGACTAATGCACCTCTCTTTTTACAATGTTTGCCTTTGCTCTATTTATGTAATATGGAAGATTCTAATATATGCAGAAGTTTCTACTTCTTTTCTATACAGGTGAAGACTTGTGATATTGATTTTTTTCTCTGCATGAGAGATCTTATTGTCACATGAAACAAAATGAGAAAGATCAATAGTCTAGCAGAGAAGCAGGCAACATTTGAAGTTTCAAGATACAAGATGTGTAGATATATCTATTTGGTGCTCTAAACATTAAACTCCCACACTACATGTATGAGAATATCACAAAAAGAAAATGAGAATTATAGCCACTGCTGTTAAGCATGCATAAATATTTGAAATTTCTCTCTGGGTTTGATTTTCCCCTCATCATTTTCTTTTGTCTTGTGCCATTATTGTGTTTCTTATATTGTTCTTTGTTTTTTTAAATGTTTTAACAATTGTAAACCACCCAGAATCGTGATTTACAATTACAGAGCTTATAGGACACCATATAAACATATTATTGTTATTTTTGTTGATCCTGCACTGCACTGCACTGTTTCTACTTTGTCAGATGTTGCCTGGTTCATTGAAGTCTCAACATGGACGGACTGAGCTGCTGTGATAGAATTAGATATGTATAAGTTTTTTATAGCCCTAAATCAGTGCTGCTGTTTTCTTATATTCCCACTGTCATGATACATAGCAAAACTTTGTTTTTCTCAACAGATGCCTTTTCAGAAAGCAGATTAAGCACTTTTCTCCTTACTATTCTAAATATCTCTTTTCTTTTTTTAAATAGGCATCAAAAGCCATTTCTGGAATATGGGGATGCTGTGATGCATGGGCTAGAAGCTAGTCCCTTTTCATGGCTCAGAACTCATTCTATCTGGGGAAGGTACTTATCTTAATTACAGCTGTGTTGTATCATCTATGGCAGGGCTGTCAAACTCAAGGGTGCTAAGATCTGGCTCACGGGGCCACCCTGGAAACAGCAAGGGTGGCCTGTGGTGCCTCTGCCAATGAAAATGGAGCTCAGGTCCTCCCGAGTCTGCTTTTGCTGGCAGAGGGTTGCTGGAGACTGTTGCAGCCAAAAATGGAGCTCGGGAGGGCTGCACGTGGTGCTAGTGAGCTCTATTTTCGCTGGTAGAGGGTTGCAGGAGGTCCTCACAGCCAGAAATGGAGCTTGGGAGCCCGTTTTCACGGGCAGAGTACCAGGGTCACCACAGGTATTGCCGAAATGAGTGATGTCGAGCTGGCTATGCCCACCCTGGCCACGCCCACCCTGGCCCCCGGAGGTCAAACACAACCCTGATGTGGCCCTCAATGAAATAGAGTTTAATATCTCTGATCTATGGTGCTCAATTTAAATTGTCCCTTAAAATGGGCCTAACTTTTTTTTCTATGCTGGTTGTGAATTTTATGAGTTGCATTTGCAGTGTATAGGAAGGATTCAGATCAGGGAAGATTGATTTGGGTCTTTCAAACCAGACAAGATTTCTTTAGGTCAGGTTACTGCCTCCATTAAGGAGTTTGGGATCACTCACTCTATTATATTTGACTAAACTGAACCAACTGTTATATTTCTTGCCAAACATAAACTATGAAGGCCCCAGCTTGGTGAATATACAATTGGCTAAACCATACCAAGCATATTGTTTACAGAATTGAGATCTTGCCGATTGAACATAATAGTGTAGCATCAGACATATCCAAAAGCTTACTTGAATTCAAGTAATTATAAAATAATCAAATTTCCATTTTAAATGTTTTGTGGAATTTTACTACTGAATTTTATTACATCGCAATTTTGGCAAGGTTTTTGAGAGCAGGTCTAAACTACTTTGGAAAATTCATTGAGAAAAATAATACTATAGTGGGGGGAAATTATTACTTTGCCAGTAATCCTCACACAGCATGAGTTTGATTTGATTTGATTCATTCTGTCTCTGGTTGCATTATCAGATGTCATTTTGCCAACTTAATTTTTAATTTTCATTAAAACTGAGCACTATATTTTTAATTGGATTTTGTATCTTTAGTTTTAGTTTACTTTATTGTCATTGCACCTTGTACAACGAAATCAAACACCATCTTCAGTGCACTTCATGACCATGACTAGAAATATTTCAGAAGATTGAATTTGATACATCAGGAAGGTTAAATATTCACAACTGTTAATCTTGCCTGCTTACAATATGTCTTGTTTTTTAGGTACCTAGTGGGTTTTTTCTTACTGCTTACTCAGCTGGGATTCTGTTGTGTATATTTTGTGTTCCTTGCTGACAATTTTAGACAGGTAAGAATCAACATAATGAAATGTGTTATAATATCCAAAGCAAGTATCGCTAAAAATTCAAGATCATAAGCATTGTTCTAACTTTACCTTTTTCATGTAGCTGCTTTCATGCTCTCTCATGTAGCTCTTTTCATGTACCTCTTTCATATGTATGGCAAGAGACTCATGGTTGAGTCTCTTGTTATTATAAATTATATGTATCCTGCTGCAATTAGAAAGACTCTGAAATAAGATATTTCCCAGAAGCAAAACAAACATTCCTATACTTGGACCAAGACAAAAGCAGAGCAAGTATGGTATAGTATTAGATTAGGACTGGGAAGATTTAGATTCAAGTACATTGTCTGGTACAAAAGGGTATTTTGTGCCAGGCACCATCTCTCACCCCAACCCCCTTATAAAATGGTTGTTCTGGGGAAAACCGAGAACAAAATTCTGTGTATGCTACTTCTCTTAGAAGAATGGCAACATATACATCCAACCAATAAATTAACTTGTAGAATATTTTCATTAAACTTACAAAAGATGAGGTGCATTTTTCTCAAATTTGTTTTTTCCCTTGTCATCTCAGATGTGCTTCCTTCGTGTCTTGAGAAATCATAAAAGATATGCTGGATTCAGTGGTATTAATCTTTGAGGGAAGCAGAACACAAAAGTGCCACTGTCTTACCCAAGGCTGTGTTTTCTCCTGTGGAATCACTGCTGTCTGAATTTGAAAAAAATATTTTCATTTATTTTGACTGAGTTTCTGATTTCCTGTCAGCCATTTACATGATAAATCATGAGACATAAGTCAACAACTCGATTCCATATTTGAATATACTATAATGAGTTGTATACCCTGGCAAGCACTTCTCATCCTGACCTAGATACCATAAGTTTAATATTTACTAAATGGGGCCAATGTCTCAAGCAGATTTAATAATAAGTTTGCACTAAGGCTTAAGCCAAATGGAGTCATTTTATGTTTATAATTTTATGAAGTATTGAAAGTCTGTTCTGATACATCTTTTTTTTTTTTTTTTTAGAGAGGGCAGGTGGTGCCCTCTTACATGGGGGTTTCAGAACCATCTGTTCCTTTTGAACTGATATCTGGGTATGAAATCATGAGTGGTATTCTATGAGAAGTGGGAGTCAAAGCCCATGTTTTCTTAGCATCATTGCATTTGTGCGTGCATTGTGTTGTGCTGCTTACTTATGATCACACCTTTAAAGTACTTGGAATGTACAAACTTTCTTTTGTAAATCCTACTTAATTAGGGCTGGAATTAGAATTTATTTTATTTATTTATCAAATTTCTATACTACCCACCATACTTGTGTGACTCTGGGTGGTTTAGAGAAGTTTTCTCCACCCTTTGACCTCAAGTGTATTGGATTAACTCTCATAATCCTATATCCTGTGTGATGAAGCCTTGTAGGACTTCTAAGCAGTACCAGATTGGCACAATCTGGTTGAGTACAATTTATTATAATCACTTTATCAATCATGTGGAAAGACAGCTGGTTCATAAGCAATTTATTTTTATCTTTATAATTTCTCAGGTAATATCTGCTGCCAATGGTACCACCAATGATTGCGGAGTCAATGAAACTGCTCTGTGGGCTCCAACGATGAGCTCTCAGTTATATATCCTGTCCTTCTTACCATTTGTGATATTGCTCGTCTTCATCCAGAATCTCAAGATTCTTTCCATTTTCTCTATGGTGGCCAATATTCTGATGTTGAGCAGTTTGATAATGATATATCAGTACATTGTCTGGGTATGTATAAAACTGACTCCTTTCAGAATCTTCTTAGCACTTGGTGCTGCTGTTTTGTTGGTTTTGCATTAATAATAATAATAATAATAACTATTACTATTATTACTATTATTACTATTATTACTATTATTACTATTA